GAGAGGCTGCTGGGGCAGGGGGAGATGGGGTGAGCACCCTGCTCCCCCAGTCCCAAGGGGGAAGCCAGTGCAGAGCAGGTACCTCTGCTCCAAGGCAGCCAAATGACAGCAGGGACCCAAGCCAGGATACAGCCCCTTGCCACCCAAAGTCCTCATCTTCTCCAAAAATATCTCAAGACACTTTGGAGGTGGGGAGGGTTCTTTCTCCTGTTCTGGCACACCCCCCAGAACCCAGCAGGTTTCCCTCCCCTTCCCCACAGAGTTCTGGAGCTGCTGCAGCCAAAGCAGCAGATCCTTGTGGATTTGCAATAGTTTCTTGGCATGTCCTTCATGCTGTTCACCCAGTTGCTGCAGGTACAAAGCCTGACCCCTCCGCTCCTCACAGCCCATTTTGCAGAGATGCTGACTCAGCTGTACTCTCCTTCCAGCACCCTGGGAGCCCAGCATTCCCCCCTGCACCAGTTAGCCTCAGTGTCCCCCTCAGCACTTCAGCAGAAGCCAAACCCAGGCCCGGTGCCTCCATGAACACCCAAGGTAGGTGAGGGATGTAAGTTTTACTGCCCCAGCCTGAGTTTCCCCTGCATGTGTTAAGAATGTTTTTCCCATGGTGGGATAAACCAGCCCAGCCCTCAGCTCAACCACTGATGCTGAGGAGATGCTGCCCTATGGCTTCCTTATAAGCTCATCCCGGGATCTGGGGCTACCTTCAGCCTGCAGCACTGTTTAACTTCCACTTCACTGCACATCCAAGCAGGACTTTTCTTTGCCTCTGGTCCCTGTTGAGGTGTGTTACTGGAGGCTGGTTAAACAGCTGCTCTGCACCACAGAAGTGATGTCTGAGAGGCAAGAGGGATGCCCAGAGAGCAGAGCTGCAGAGCTCCTGGGTCAGGGGGATCAGCCACATCCTTTTGCTTTGCTTCCACAGGAACCCAGACCCTCACAAATCCAAGCCCAACAGTGACAGACTCAAGCCAGCAGACAGAGTGAGTGGGTCTTTCCCTCCTTCCCTGGGTGCTCAGACACTGGGTGCAGGGCAGCAGCCTCCTGCACGAACTGGGGGGGAACAGTGGGTGCCCAGGCAGGGGCTGCTGAAGAGCCTCAGTAACACACTTTCTTTTTTATTTTAGTTGTGGAATAGCAGTTTTAGATAAGGTGAGAGACAGATTCAAACTAGCCTTGAACTCCTGCAAATGAAGTAAGTTTCTGAATTTTCTGACCAGGAACTTGATGCTAAACATCTATAGTTTCAAAACTGCTGACACTGGTCCTAGAGCACACAAAGGTGACTCTGCCCCACAGACACCTGCTGTTCTCCCTCGGTAACTGCCCCGGTTTGATACACAACCTGGCCGAGACACCACAACTGCGCTGCTGCAAGTTGCTGCAGGAAGTGTTTTCACTTCCCTGGAAAAAGAAAACAAACAAACAAGGCCCAGCAGGCCCTCCTCCTCCTCCTCCCCCCAGACTGAGCTACTCATTTCAGCTTTACTTCAAAATGTTTGGATTTTGTAGACACTTGGTAAAATGTTTAATAACAATGCTTTTAAACTGCAACAACATATAATTTTGTAACCATTTGCCCTTTCCCTTTCAGGAAATAGTGCAGCTCTCCAACTACCTGAAGGTGGGTACCAGACACTGCATATCCCCCTGGGAAAGCAGCACTTCAGTCACTGCCACACCACTTTAAAACTGTAATTATTATTAAAGAGAGGTTATATAGCTAAGAGAGCCTACAGACCAGCTTTCTGAAGCCCAAAGACCCATCTGAAACCCCTGTGACCCTGAGGGGGGAGCAGGGCTGCCCCTGCTGCCTTCAGGGGTCCCCACCAACCCACTCTCCCCTTCCCCACAGGAGGCCCTGCACCGCGAGCTGCTGCTCAAGCAGAAGATGGTGATTTTGCAGGAGCTTTTCTCCACGTTGCTGCAAGCGTCAGAAAAATCCTGGCAGGTACCAGCGAGGCACACGAGGGAGGGAGGTTTTGACTCAGGGGGATCCAGCTTGTGCAACCGCGGGACTCCCTTCCTTCCTGGGAGCTAAACCCCAGCTCTGCCTGGCTGTGGTGCTTTGCAGCCCAGATGTTAGGTGCTGAAAGTGCCTGGCAGAGCAGATCTGGTGCGGAACGTTCCCTGCAAGCTGCTGCCCGCCCTGCTGCTCCCTCGCTCTCCAGGGAGGGCTCATCACACACTCAGCCACAGGGGCTACTTCACTGGATGTTTTCCCCCTCTTATCCCCCAAAAGATTGCTCCAAAGCACACTTTGCTTTCAGATCCACAGGAAGTGTAAAACACTTTTCTGTAAGGTTTTGGGTTTTTTTTATACCTGCCTCTCCCACTTGCTCTTCAGTAAAAAGCAAACAAAGTGTGTAAGTGGAGAAAAACTGGCACGAACCCAACCCACCACCTTCCACCAGATTTTCTTTCCTAGTCAAAACAAACTGCAAATGTTTTGAACCGAATTTTTCTTTTTTGGCCAAAATAAAAATGTTAGATGCAAACTGAGACACCCAAGTGCTGGCAATCACCGATGGGGTAAAAGACAGACTGCTTCCTAAACTGGGAACACAACAGCTGAAAACCCCCACCCAGCACAAGCTGCCTCCCTGCAGAGCACCAGCCCCCCAGTCTGCTCCTTGCCGGGACCTGCAGGGACATCCTCTGCCCTGGTTCCTTTTGGGGACATGTTCTGGGCCCCAAAGACAGATCAGGGGACTCGGTACCACAGTGCCCTGCACACTGGCACTCTGCTGAATCACAGCCCTGCATCAAACCATTTCCCCACAGCTCAAAGTCCTCTGGGCTGCACTGAACCAGGGCCCATTGATTATTTTTTTTTTCACTTTCAGGTAAAATTGAGGTAAAGATTTTATGCAACAAAGTATTTTATGTAGGATTATTAAATATTAATTTGCAGTTCGTTATCCTTTTAAAAAGTGATTTGAAAGTTCTGTTGGGGCAGAAATGTGAGTGATTGGGTGAGATGGTGTAAAAAACTTGAGCTGGATGCTCTGCGGTTGGAAGCTTCCGCCCTCACTTGCTTCTTCAAATACAATATGAGCAGGAAAAAACACCCTGCCACACTCTGCAGGAAGTAGCCATGAAACCTCAGATTAGAAACAGGTGGGTGCACTTTGCTTCTTGCTATCTCTGCTCCTGGAGGGAGCTTTTGCTGCTGCCTCTTGCCTTCAACCCTTCATCAGACTAAAAATTAACTTGCTGCTGGCGCTGGAGCTGATGGGGCAAACAAGTAGATGGTGCCTGTTCGGGGGGATCCCCTGGGAGTGCACAGGGGGAGGGAGGCTGGGGGAAAGGGGCTTCCCTTGGAGGTGCTGGCAAAGGGAGGTACAGACAGGTCCCATTCCATAATGCTGTGCCATGGAAACTGGTGGCTGGGTGCCCATTTCCAGGCCCAGGTGAGATGCCAAATGCCCATTGCAGAGGTTTTTTAGCCCTTCCCAATACTTTGGGTTTCACAGAAATATGGTTGCATAGACAGGAACAATACAGCAGTAACTCTTGAAATGGCCACAAAGTCATTTTTGAGATGCTGCTCATTTTCACAAGTGCTTCTGGTTTGATGGAACAAGCAGAAACTTCTCAGGAGGATGGGATGCAGTTAAACTGAAAGGATAAAGCATTTGTTTCCTTCCCCCTCCCATGATTTTACTCGTAGGTTAAAGAAACCTTCCTACCATCTGTTGTAGAACTTGCTCAGTTCAGCATTTACTCTTACTGCTTTAAACCAACTATTTTAAGTGACTAAGAGAAAGAATATCAGAGTTCAGCAACCACAGGACAACCAAAACACTACAGCTATCAACTGAAACCAGGTCCACGTGCTTCTAGGGCACACCTTGTTTAAATTCCACCTACTTTCTAAGAGGATAAAGCTTTTCATTCTTTGTACCAACAGCTGAACTGGGAAGATTTAGTCTTTGGGACTGTAAATTTCAGAGCAAATTTAAGTAGTGCTAAGGGACCAGAGAATCTGGTTTTGCTTGGGTCTAACAGCTATTGCTGTAACATGAAGGAGTTGTTTTTTCAGAGACTTGACTTCAAACAGCAGCTAGCAGAGGATACCAGTGTTCTCAGTATCAGTGGTGGAAAATCAGCCTGTGTGAACTCTGCTAGAAATGCTCATCTGAATTTCCATGCAGTCTGGTTTCACAAAACCTAGGCTGCCTGACTAACACTGAGAGGAGGTTACAGTCAGGAAAGTGAATCATCACTGTTGCCCTCTATCCCCCTGCCCAACTGACAGATGTTGCAAGGAAGAACCAACCTATTTCCTAAGGGAACCAGCAAGACAAGACCTCAGCAGCAGCCCAAGCTTTAGGCAAGGAGCATTGCAGGGAGGAGCCAGGGAACAAGGACAGTCCCAACCAGACTCACCTGAAATCCCCTTGCTGTGAACTTCTCCTCTTGCTGCACCCAGATCCCATGGGACTGCCTCAGGAGAGTTTTTTCAGTGCACAAGTTTTCCTTCCCCGAGACCCCATTTATTCTGACATCATGAAGGCTTATATGAACACCAAGTGTTGAAAAGACTGACCAAATTGAGCCACAACATCACAGATGAAGAAAAGGGAGAAAGGGAATCAACACACAGGCTGACAGAGCACTGAGGCATATTGTGCAGTTTGTGATTCCACATGTCAGCTCAGTTGTTTCTTCCCCAGGGTCAGCTGAATGAAGACAAACTGAAGTGCAAACTAAGGGCGCTTGAGAACCAGCTGCAGGCCTGCACCCAGGTAAGGGGCACCAAACTGGGGAAGGAAGGCAGGGAAACAACACACCAAGCCAGTTCTGGTCCCAGCTTCTAGAGCAACCTGGCTAGATATGCATCTGAAAAATCATTTCTCCTCTTTGCTGAAGCTTCACAGCTCAGTAGCATTTACACACTCTGGATTTGTTAATATTCAGGCTTAGCAAGACTAAGAGTATGTCAGATAAAACCCTTCAAGCACTTTGATTCTTCCTTTAAAGAATTACACAAAGGAGTGTGTGAAGAAGATCTTGATAGAGATGGAAGACCAGAAGCAGACCTACGAGCAGAAAGCTAAGGAGGCTCTTCAGAAGATGCTGGAGGACAAACTCCAAGCAGAGCAGGAGCTGCAAAACTCTCAGGTAAGGAAAAGACCTGGCTTTGCTTACACCCAGTCTGTGACAAAGAGCTCCCACATTTCAGGGAAAGGGGATCACTGGCTTACCATTAGTAACAAAGGTGCAAAATTACCATTTTTTAGCTACTGAGCAAAGTCCAAAGCAGCTTAGTGGCAACCTGATCTCATTTTGTGAGCCACACGTCAGGTCATTCAAAAGAGCACACAGCTGGGGGAACAGGCTGCTGCTTGGCAGTTTTAAGTGTAAACCTTTCTCCTCCACTGCCCCTTCTTCCTTCTCCCTGCTCTACACACAGAGCAACAAGCTACACACAGATAAATCCAGGGCACAAGGTATCCAGAGACACTTCTTCGGGAGCTGCTCTTTTATATGAAAATGGATTTTCCCCAAGAGGCACCCGGGGGGTCAAACCAAACGGCTAACTTGTATTTTCAGAACAATGAGTTATTTGTATCCCAAAGATTACAAGCTTCCTCAATCCTCCCAGCAGCAGAGGAACCAGGGTTCCACAGCAAACCCTCAGCCTGTGTTCCCTCTGTCCATCAGGTGGCATCAGCCTCACACGTGCTGCCACAACCCGGGTGCAGGAGGAGCTGGTGTTACCCCAGCCCCACACACGGCCCAGCCCGTGGGTGCTGTTCAGGGCAGCCTGGCGTGGTCCCACCAAGCTGAGGGTCACAGCCCACCCCTGGGTTCTTCTCTCCTCCACAGAGAAAGCTGGCAGTGACAAGGCAGGACCTTGCATTGTGGAAAGAGCACCACACCAGGCTCACAGCCCAACTGACCGACACGAGCACAGCGCACACCGAGCTCGAGAACAGCTTCCACCTTTTGCAGAGTGAACTGCAGGTACATGAGTGCCCCTCAGGAACAGCACAGAGCCACAGAATGGTTTGGGTTGGGAGGGACCACCTCGTTCAAACCCCCCTGCCACAGGCAGGGACACCTCCCTCTAGACCAGTGGGAGCTCCAAGCTCCTTCCATCCCCCTTCCAGGAGTTCCCGTTTTCCAATGTGCCAGCCAGGAAGTCATAGAAATCATAGAATCATTAAGGTTGGAAGGGACTTTAAAGATCATCAAGTTCCAGCCCCCCTGTCATGAGCAGGGAGCCCTCCCACTAGACCAGGTTGCACAAAACCTCATCCAACCTGGCCTTAAAACCCTCCAGGGATGGGGCATCAACAGCCTCCCTGGGCAGCCCATCCCAGCTCCTCACCACCTTGAGAGTGAAGAATTTCTTCCTAATATCCAACCTAAATCTCCTCTCAGTTTAAACCCATCACCCCTTGTCCTGTCACTATCTTCTCTGATAGAAAGCCCCTCCCCAGCTTTCCTGGAGCCCCTTCAGGCACTGGAAGCTGCTCTAAGGTCTCCCTGGAGCCTTCTCTTCTCCAGGCTGAACACCCCAACTCTCCCAGAGCAGAGCTGCTCCAGGGCTCTGAAGCCCCAGGCTGAGATCGCTACGTAATAAATCCCCTTTGGCCAAGCCCAAGGGTCAGCCCTGCAAACCCAGCCCCCCGCTCCGGGTCTGCGGGGGTGCACAGCAGCGCCCTGCGGGAGGACAACCGCCTGCAGGCCCGGCACATCAGCACCATCCGAGGTACGGGGGCGAGGGCAGGGGGGCTGCAAAGAAACAGAGGACTCAAGGAAAACAGCTCCTAAAAATCCCGACCCTGGAAGTCTCTGGTTTCCGAAGGGCTCCTGGAGTCACTTCCGACCAGATTAAAAAGGACTTCAGAGAAGCCGAGTGGCTTTTCTAGAAGAAAGGATGGAATGTGAGACCTGAACATTCAAAGATGAACCCTCAGCTCTGGTGAGGACTTTTGCATCCTCGTCAGAGGCACCAAGGCCAGCAGCACAAGCTGTTCCTGCCCGGTGGGGATGCTCCCAGCCCACAAACACACGCCAACAGTGTCTTAAAGTACCACTCCAGAGAGGCAAGGACACTCTCACACACTTCACGTGCCTATTTTAAAACACAATTAAGGAAGAGTAAATGGCTGGCAGGTCTATTTTCTTAACAGGTCTCACACAAGCAGCTTTAAAATAAACTAATGGAATTTGAGGCACGCTAGAAAAAAAGCTGCCCAAACTGAAAGGCAATTGACAGCTCAACATCACATTCCTTCAGAGAAGAAAGTTCAGCGTAGCCAACAACATCCACTTCATTTCAGACGTGGAGAAAGGGAAAGTAGCCATCCTTGCATCCACACCAGCCCTTCTGTTCTCCTGTCATTATTTCAGATCAATTGCAAAAGGAACAAAGCCAGAGGGTAGCACTGGAGGCGACAATCGGCCATTTACAAAGTAAGTAACACAAAGACATGCAAAGCGAGCGACCTGTGTCAGAGCTGGGGGTGGTAACGGAGCCTTTTTACATCCCCAGGCCTGATACAGAGCCAGGCGGAGCAGCAGAGGCTCCAGGAGGCCCCGGTGCAAAGGAAAGGTCAGCAAACTTTGTAACTCCCACCTTAGCCCTGCTCCCACGGGACACCAGAACCTTAGGCCTGGCTCTAGAAGTCTCCACTGGCTTAGAACACAGGATTATGTTAAAGCTGCACAAAACGAGTTACTGTATTTTGCTAGTTAATGTTAAAACATAAGTATATTTATGATGGAAACACTTTGAAAAATAAATGGATTTCATTGCAAATTCTGTTTCAGCAGCCATACCAGTTGTTGTTTTTTTTCAAACAAAATACATGAATATTTATAATTGCAATTACAGCTGTACCTGAAAAAAAAAAATAATTAAAAAGACACTCTCCTTCCCCTCCATTTCTGGCAACTACTTAGAAATATTCCTCTAAAGTTCATTAATTTGTAGCTCCAGCAGAGGCAGGTCTGTGACAGGTAACTCAGCTCCCGTGCCCTCTGCTGTGTGCATAGCACACAAATATTATCTTTAAACTGTGCTGAGCAAACAAGATCTAAAGCAAACTGAAAGCCTGGACCCATTTCTCATCAGAAGCCTGTTTTCTAGACCAGGTTTTCACCACGCAGACCCCACCTCTCACTCCCACCAAGGAAAAACAAAACATTCTGTTAGAGCATCCTGAGGAGGAGGGAGAAGAAAGCCTGGAGGATGAGGTGCAGGAAAGGACATCCCAGCTTGCAGCAAAGGAAAACAAGGTGAGGAAGAAACTGAACCAGAGCTGGGACCAAGTTCCCTGCCAAGACACAACACACCAAAGCCCCTGGAAGTAACTTACGTTTGGCACCTCCTGTAAGGAGTAGCTCTGCTGAGCTTCTATCCTGACATCAGCCTCACCTAAGCCTTCAACACAGCACCCACACACGAGGGAGGGCAGCAGCACCTCCACCCAGGGCTGCAGCAGCACAGCACCCTCCAGACAAACCCACTTCTCCTTTCATGGACAGGAGAGCCCCAACAACCTCGCAGGGAAAAGCCAGAGCCACACTTGAATAGCTGAGACTCTGGGCACAAGAAGGAGAAGAGGAAAAGGCTTGCAAATAACAGGCATAGCCTGCTAAAAAACCACAAACAAACAAGCAAAGCCCTCACAGCGGGGCTGCAGAAAAACTCAAAGCTTTACAGCCTCTTACAGCCTCTTTCCCATCAAATTCTGCCCTCAGCCAACCAGCAGCCCCCCCAGCTCTTCCAGCAGCGCTCAACAAGGATTTTTAAAAACGGATTGTTTTTAAAAAAAAGGATTTTTAACTTACTGCAGCAGAGCCCCGAGCCACGCAGGAGGAGAGCTGGTCCTGCCGACCCCCCTGGGCAGAGCAGAGGCAGCACGAAACGCCAGCACCACCTGGGGCAGCGCTTTGTAAAGGACAATCAGAGCGATCAGGGACAGCTGGGGTGGTCCTGCTCTCCCTTCTCTCTTCCACAGCTGGGAAGGCAGCAGGGCCACCTGCCAGAAAAAAAAAAGGCAGTTCCTGGTTTTTGGGGTGTGCAGCACAACCGAGGTGCCTGTCCCGTGTGTCTCAGAGGGTTTGAAGGACTCTGCAACTGCTCTCGCAGGCAGTGAGATGCAGAGTGACTGTCAGGATGAGAGGCAAAGCCTGCACCCCATGTCATCTTCCTGACCCACAGGCTTCTGTGGTCGTGAAAATAATCCTAGAATGCCAGGGTAGAAAGGACCTTAAGGACCAACCTTTCTAGGTTGGAACACGGTTTAAGTGAGAGAAACAGACACTCCCATCTAAATGAGATGAAGCATTGATCTAAATTCAGCTCCATTTAGCATTTAACTAACTTCAGATGAAGCAATAACCCACTGGGATGTGGAGGCCGGCAGCGAGGCCTGCAGGCCACGGGATGGTCACAGACCGGGTCCTGCCTCTGCCACCA